CAACTGAACTTCTATCTTCTGATGTTGGTGCTCTTTGGGAATGAATGGCAGAGGAGGGTCCTTCTCCTCTTCCTCTGCCTTCTTGTCATCCTCCTCCTCTTCCTCCCCTTCTCCTCCTCTTCCTTCCTCTTTCTTCTCTGCCAGAAATGAGACCAAAGGTCTGAACTGAGCACTTGCGGAGACCTTTTAGCTGAGAGTCATGACCCTCCGCATTATGTTTGCTCCTGATTTACAGCCGCCACTCATTGTTTAGCCAGTCATATTTACAAAACTTCTGGAGCTGTGAACATAAACCCAGGGTAGCTAATTGTAGGGGGACGCGGTGGCGCAGTGGCTTAATGACGCTGAAAGTTGCCGGCCAGAAATGGCTGACGCTTCGGCGGTTCGAGTCCAGCCTTCGCGCTAAACAGGGTGAAACAGCTCCTGTTTCCTCCCCAGTTCCTGTCAACGCAACAGGTCGAAAACTCACGTGAGTAGATAAATGGGTACTCTCACTCCGGTGGGAGGAAAAATGTTGGCGGCGCCTTGCAAAAAGGAGTTGGGAGCAGTTGCTGGTAAGCGCGAAAAACTGCGCGCGCCTGAAAAGGGTGCGAAGCAACGGAAACCCCGCCTCCTGCGCTCGCCAGCTGGGCTCTGCTCTAGGAAGGAGGCTCTGGCAAACCACTTCCGAAACAATTGCCTTGAAAACTGCAAGGACTCATCCAAGCAGTCACTGCAGGGTCAGTAATGACTGAGCGCAGACAAAAAAAAAAAGCTAATTTTATTAAAAAGATGTCCTATAAGGATATTGGTTTAAGCAGTCATACCAAGTGTTGGTCCTTGTTAGGGCCTGGTGAGCAACTTCTTAAGCAGCAGAAGAGGAAAGTTTAAAAATTGGAAAGGAGAGATCTAGCCAACAAATGTTCCCTTGTGACTTTGCCCCAGACAGAACTTTGGACAGAAAAGTGAATAGGTGTCGTGTCGATGAGAGGAGCCAACAAGCAAGCTACGTGTGAGTTGTCTGATGTATTACAGCAGCTATGTGGGACTGGGCCTCTGTTGTACCCTCCCATCCCTCTCTTCTCAGAATGTTGTGTTTAACTGAGTGTTACCTGACTTTGATGTTCTCCATGTGGCTTTGGCATTCTGTTGTTTATATGTCCTGACAAGGAGAAAACAGATCTGTTCAGCATCTTCTGCCTTTCTCTGCAGACACTTGAAAAGATAACATCACCAGTCACCTTCACTGTGGCTTTAAGGACCAGCCAGATAATTAACACTATGAAAGATGGCTAGTGTAGCTAATGTAGTAGTGGCCACTTCTTAGATTTAGACAGCCCTTGCCCTTTCCACCCCCAACCCTTCCAGATTGCAAGTCACTTTTTGTAACCAGCTAGGACCCAAGATGCAGACATGTCATGGAACAAATAAAAAGAATGTCAACCTCTGGCCTTCATCTGTACATGCTAAACCCTAAACCTGGGATTACAAAAGGCAGTGGCTGTATTCATATAACATGCTAAAACAAGTAGACCCTTTTATGGCTTAATGTGATGGTCTGATTCATATCACAGGCAAAAGCAATGACTAGGTTTCTACAGATTTCTGAATGATAATTTACTCAGCCCCCTTTAAACCAATCTCCCTCTTTGTCTAGATTAATGGGTTGATGGATAAACCAAGAATGGACTACATGTCTTTGAAATCTTGGGAGACAACAAAGACAATGCAGAAATTATGTTCTCCTGAACATTTTTCTCTCCTTTTCAAGCTGGTTTGTTTTTTAGAATGTGCTCAGATTCCATCTTTTTCTCCCAGGAACCTCATGGGATAACCTTCTCCAATATTATCCCCACTTTCACCTTGGTCTGACCAGTCCTAGCTGTCCCAGAGCTATTGAATGAGCCTCATGGCTGAGGATGGACTTAAATCTGTGTCTCTCCCATCCTAGTTCAATACCTGAACCACTACATTACATCTGCCAAGTTAAACAAGCTTCCTCGAAGTAACAGTTTTGCTTCAGACAAATAGAGCAGATATCAAGAAATCTCTTGGTGAACTTTCCAGTTCTGGATAACTCTCCCTCCACAACAGATTGCCTCCTGACCTGATATCATAGATCACATTCTCACCTTCAATGTACGTACGTCTAGCTTTGGTGCAATTGGAAAACTTTCGTCATACATTGTGGCCAAAGACGACAGAGACTTGCGGGGGGGAGGACGAAGCCCAGCTTGAGGAATTCAGATTTGAGCCTACTCACAGCTGAACTCCTTTTGCTGGCATCTCTTTTGCTTGGAAGAGAGAGCTCAGATTCTTGAGGAATGAGATCACCTGCCTCTTGCACTGAAAGATGATTTCAGGAAACTACTGAAGCTTCTGCTTCCATTGTGAGTCAGGGAATTCTTACAGTAGTCAATTGTGTGTCTCCAGTGTATTCCCTCAAACACGGACATGAGGAAGGTATTGGGGGAGGGGGGAGCAGTCAACTCAGTTTTGCAAGCCAGAGAATGCAAAAAAGCAAAGAGGCTTTTTCTCCTCAGAGAGCTGAGTGGTTGGGATCAACAATGATTCAGTTGTGGTCACATCAAAGATGTGTTGCAGTACATCTTGGCCAGACTGCGTGGATGTGGACCAGACCAAAGTTTAATTGAAAACATTTGAAAAGGGTGAAAGATTGCATTTACCAAATTGGGGTTGTGCATTTCTTAAGTGAATGATGGCAGAGGTGTTATCTGACCCCATACTGTTTGGAATGCCTCAATAACTTTAGCACAAGTGGGGCAACCGGAGTTCATGCCAAATGCTCTATGCTCAAGACTTTGGTATTATTTGCTGACTTCATGGCCTCTGGTGTTTGGTGGTTACTCACGTATTCTCACAGTGGTTCCAAAGCAAAGTAACATGTGAACTTACCATGATGTGCACACATGAACAGCAAAAGAGTGTTCATATCCCCATCTTCCCAGACTGGTTTAGGAATAGGGAACGTGATGTGCAAGAAAGAGCTGAGAGGTGCAGGGACGATGTGCTCTTACCCTTTCCATGAATGGGAAAGAGAAACAGCTACTTAGTGGGAAGGCGATATGTGTTCTCATGTATCATACAAATGACTCTATCTTCAGATCCCATCCATATAGCTGATTCACCCCTTTCCCCCCGCCAGTTTACTATATATGTTTGTTTAAAGGCATCATTTTCTGCCATGATTAGAGACCCCTCCCTTTTCTGTTTCAGTGTCTCTTGGAGTGTGTGTGTGTGGGTGCGTTTAGCTTACATGATTATTGGAGGTGCAGTGTTGCTGGTTTTTGGCTATACCCCTTTCCATCTCCTCGGAGACCCAGTCTTCCCAATTTAATGAGGTTCATGGCAGGAATTCCCTTGGGAATTAATGAATGCATGGGAAGGCCGGGAGATCACAGAGTGTTGGAGAGAGGATTGTGCAATGAAATCAGGACCTTCCCACACAACCCTTGGTCATCTTGCCTGCAAATAAGTGCAAGGAGACCACGCTCCATCCAAACTTTCTCTTCCTTTGAAATAAATTGGGGTAAAATGTAGAATTTCTCCACGTGGCACTCTTCTGGATGTGGTCACTCTATTCCAGTAAAGGGTTTCAATATTTGTTCTGAAGAAACAAATACCTTCTAGGATCATGACAAGGAATTGCTCCTTCCCTTCCCTTCCCTTCCCTTC